TCAGGAAGGTATAATCTGAATTAGCAATTATGCGTGAAAAAGCAATAATGAAACAATTCCACAATTCATAAAATTTAAAAAACCTCAGTACCATTGCCCGCTAACCATAGGCACAAACGTTGCTATCCAAAATCAAAACGGCACACTCCCGAAAAAATGGAAAAACACAGGCCAAATTATCAAAGTTCAACCACATCAGCAATATAGTGTACGAGTAGATGGAAGTAGAAGACAAACTTTACGAAACAGAAGATTCTTGTGAGAAATAGTAACAATATCAATAAGAAATACCATCACAGAATATAATTCTGAAATAGTAAAGGCATAAATACTCCAATCAACAAGAAACAACATTCAAGAACATACATCTGAGAATAGAATTACACAACCGAATAAATCATCAAATCATCCATCTTCCCATCCTACAAAACCAAATGAAGTTGTTAAACCAAACATAATCAACTATAATAATGAAAATACTAACACTCTGGAATTAGAAAGCACAAGCCAAAGCGAAAATGTCACACCATTAGGAAGATCAACTAGAACTCGTAATGCGCCAGTAAGATTAAAGGATTATATATTATAAATAAATAAATTAAAAAAAAAAAAAGCTTGTATAATACGCCATATTTGATTACGTATTATATTGTTACGTATTATAGATAATTACAGTCATTAGCATAATGACCGTTAAGGAATTTTATAATACGCTTTGCGTTTACGTTGTGTAAGTTAGTTATGAAGAGAATAGTTAAATTAAAAACGTTGTTATTATACAATAATCCTTTTTTGTATTTGTTCTTGTGACTTAAAAATTCTGGAGCTCATTGAAAAAAGTATAAAAGAACCAGAAGCTAAATAATTACTCCGCAATGCAAATTGTCATTATTACAGAAGTCAACCTACATGTAAATAAAAAATTTACTATGTTGCGAGTGAAACTATTTTCTTAGAATCAGTCAAAAATCAATAAAAAAAGAATACCAGTATCCACTGAAACATTTCTGCCACATTTCTACTCTACATAGTCTTTGCTATTTGGATGTAGTAAACGGTTTCCCACTGTATATAAATATATCTGGCATACATATATGGTAGGAACCAGTACCTGTGTGCCAGAAGCGAAATCCTGTATCTGTATGTTTAAAACCCGTATCTGTATGTTAATAATATATTAAAAGTTTCCAATGAGAGGTGTAGAATTTTTTTGTACTCAAAATCTAAAGTGGAAGCAGGTTATTCAGCACAGCTAGCTAACAAAGGCCCTAAACTTTTTAAATTTTAAACTCTAAATTAAAAACAATCAACAGTCCTTTTGTCTAAAAACAAGGTGCTAATTAGTGAAGTCACACGGTTTAAAAAAATTTTAAGGTAAAGTTGTTCCAAAACAGAAACTACATGTAATGTTCTCAGGAGCTGAAAAAGGGAAGAAGATTGTTTTGAGACCATCGTAACAAAAAGTTTGTGGTTCAATACTATGTTCTAGGTCATTTATTTGACGTTGCAGAGTTAAATTAATAAGCAAATAAAGCTTCAAGTTTCCTGCAAAAATGTATCTAAGTTAATCACTCAACTTGTGGATAAGAGACAAATATGCCTAAATCATATTAAAAAGACTGGGATAGATGATGGGGGATTTTAAAAGGTTTCATTAAGATTCTTTATGGAGATGTAAATGAACTTTAGACTATGTTTTCATACAAAGAGGCTTTATAGCATGACAAGTTCAAACAAAAGTGAAAATTTAAAAAAATTAATCATTTATTCTTTTGTTCAAGATATCAAAGCCAATCATTATAACATCAAACAGGTGATAGATCTTTTGCGTGTTATAACAGAGATGTATTTTTTTTGCACTTGACTTAAAGTATGTAAATACTTATTTTGGTATTAAAGCAGTTTTCTCTACTCAATCCTGCAGTTGGAATAAAATGTCAAAACAGGACATGCAGAATTTTACAATATGTGATCGAATATGGTAACTGGGAAACGGCCTACCATTATTAAAATTGTTTTCTTCTGCACAGTTCAAAAGCTATGCAAATAATTTTAACTCAGAATTTTAACCTAGGTTTTTTTACGAGACACATGTCATGGTTAAAGATAATGCAGAGCAGAAAGAAAGGGCTTGTTCTGTTCTGAAAGTCACAGAAAACAAAATTAGACTCTCTGCTGCAGCCATCAACATAGATAGAAACATTAGACAATAACCTTAAAGCCGAGTTTGATGTTGTACTTGACAAATTAAAAAAAATTATGCTTGCAATGAAAGCATATGTGAAGAAAATTTGATTTGTTAAAAAATGGAAATATCTTCTAAGGATGGCATCAATCCCTACAAAGAAAGCATATACCACGTTGAGAGAATGCATCTCCTGGAAAATGTATCTCATGCTCTTCTTTTCCATGAGCTTAACTTTCTGAGATAAATGGCTGAAAATTAGCTAGTAAAATATCTTGCTTTTTGGTCAGAGCAGGCTTCTGAAACTATTTATTATGACTTCAAACAATTCAATAAACAAGGATACAAAGTTCCAAGTTGTCTTAAACTGTATTATTCAAAAACTGCTGAGGCCAACTATAACAGGATTTAATTGGAGACAATTGCATCTTTAAACTCTTCCTTTTTTTATAAATATTTTATACTCAATTTAATCTTAAAATTTATCTTATATTTGTAATTCATATGTATAAAAATACTGCATTTTTGAATATCAAATCTGAATATGGTCTCACTTGCCTTAGAAATTAATTAAACAGCAATTTTTAAAATAAACGTAATCACTTAGAAACAGCTATATGAAGATTTAATCTTACACAAGGCGCCATTATGGATTTTTAAGATTAAAGAGTTAAATTATTTCAAAATATTTATCTAAAAGTTCGTTTTTATAGTTACTTTATTAACTCAGTAACTATTGTTGATAAGTGAACTTATTACCGATCAAATAAAAGCATTGTCTATTGTAAGCATTTTGAGGTTTTCAAAGTTTTTAAGTTATATAATAATCTTGGAATCAGTCATGATTAAATAAAATATTTATTGCGCATAAATGTAAAAGTACTGGACTTTTGTGGCTTTACAAAAACGCGCTTTATCTTGAACCTCGTCAAAAAATTTTCTTGGTTTTATATTTTAAAAATAGATATCCGTTTGAACTCAGAATGACATGACCCTGGGACTATTTACTACCTTTTGGGTGAGATCAGAATAATTTAGTCTCACCTAAAAGTATAATACCTTTAGTTAGTACTCGTCTCACCCAAAAGGTAGACTATCTTTTAGTTGAGACCAATCAAATAAAAGAAAACTTTTTTTTGAAATTAAACAAAAACTATATATAAAAGAAATATCAACTGTATACATTCAAGAACATATAATGTTTATATAAAAGCAAAAAAAATTAAAAAGATTCAAAAATTAAATTATTTTCTGAGATGATTTTGTAGTAGTAAAACAATTAATTATAAAATACAAAATACGAATCTTTAACTTCGAAACGACAAAAAAAGACCATATGTTAATAATAAAATAAAAGACCGTACATTGCAATATATTATTTATATTCGGAGATATATAAGCATGTGGTGATTTTCTGTGTTTTTTTTTTTTTTTTTATCATTTATTTTTAGTATTAATACTTATTAATTTTCTATGCAGTTAAAAACGCTGAAATTTTTTATTAGAAACATACTTTTACATACAAAACCACCACTTTTTTCTTTTTAAACTTAATTATAATAATTTTTTAATATTGAACTAAAAAAAATCATGGCGTTTGCTTATATATTTATTAATTATTTTTTATTAATACTATTGCATTTGAGTTTACATAATTTATACAAGACTGTAAATTGTTTTAAAAGTCTCGGAAAATAAATTTAAATTTTTTGCAAACACTCTAAAAATTGAAAGGAGTTATGTTAAACAAAGTAAAAGTTACATTAGGTTTAAATATATTATGCATATTGAGGACTAATTGTCCTATAAAAGTATTTAAAGAACAATATGAATTTATAAAAATTATGGATTAGAGAAGTCCCCTTTTGGACCCTAAATCTCTGCCCTATTGAAATGTTTTTGAGTGAAATCCCTTATATATATATATATATATATATATATATATATATATATATATATATATATATATATATATATATATATATATATATATATATATATATATATATATAAATATATATATATATATATATATATATTTTTATATATATATATATATATATATATATATATATATATATATATATATATATATATTTATATATATATATATATTTATATATATATATATATTTATATATATATATATATATATATATATATATATATGCATATGCATATTTGTGTGTGTGTTTGTGTGAGTGAATCTATGATTGTATTTATATATAAGGCAATATTTGAAAGGGTAATGTTTTCTTTAAAATTTGAAAACATTACTATACTAAATTTTTAAAAAATGTTTTATAATCAACTTCTATTCATCATCACTGTAAAGCAGTTTAATATTATAATCTTCCTGCAACTAAAATTGTTTTATCGGTTATTTTAATTTTGTTTTTTATTATTTTCGTTAGTTATTTATTTTTGTTAAGTTGGAACCTATTTTGTTGGGTGGGAACCTATTTTGTTGAGTGGGAACTTATTTTGTTGAGTGGCAACAACAGTTTTTTTAAACTAACCATGTTACTGCCGTGTCTATTTTTTTTCTATGACTATACTGTAATTATCAAATTTTTTACAATACCAATTTCCGATTTTACAAAAAAATTTTAAACTTATTCTATAACAATAAAGTTCAAAAAAAACCAAAAAAAACAATTGATAATATCAACTTAAAAGTTTTAAAGTAATAAATTTTGTACAATAAAAAAACATATTTTTATATTTTTAAGCGGTTTAAGTTTAACAAAATATGATAATAAATAAGATATTCTAATAACTTTAAATTATATTAGTTTTAATCCGTAATATATACCTTTAAATTAATGTTCTATACTTTTGCATTTATTAGTTTGTTAAAGCTCCGATTGCACCGTGATATTTAATATTTATCAGAATATTATCTGAAAATAGTACTTTTCATAAACGATATTTTGTCTTGAGAAATTCTTTTTAATAATTTATTACAACTTATGTTATTTTTTTGATAAATAAAATGTTAATATGGTTTAATAAATAAAACATTTAAGGGGTGTAATCGAATAATTATAATTGAACCCTACCGAATGTTTTATTTTTAAATTACGATTAGGTTTTTCTTTGTATGAAACATAAATAAGTTTTACGATATTTGCTTTATTTTTTTAAAAGAGTTTCATTTCTTACGACCATGATGGGTCATTGAATTTTTTTTTTTTTTTTTTTCTGAGCAATTTAAAATTATTAAATTGACTTAAATTTAAAGTTATTAAAAAAAAGATTTTTGCCAAACTTACAAATTAGAATGAACTATCAATATACTTATTCATAAAATAATTATTTTTGGTGATTTATATATATATATATATATATATATATATATATATATATATATATATATATATATATATATATATATATATATATATATATATATATATATATATATATATATATATATATATATATTATTTAACTATAGTAGTATAATTTAAAAAACTCATCAATAAATTCACAGAAATTGATTAGGTAGGTTGAGTTTAGATAATTATTTCATATACATGTAACATTTTATATCTTGAGTTTTGAGTCTCATGCCATCATTTTTTATTATTTATTTGCTTTAATTAAATCTGATGACTAAAACAAAAATGTTATTTGATTATTTGTTATTATAGTGTAAAGTTATTTGGTTATTTGTCGAAATGTCATCTTTGAAAATAAATTTAAAAAAGATCTCTTTAATATAAAAATTCTTTTAGTATAAAAATTCTTATAACTATAATCTTATAATTATATTTTTAAAACTATAATTTTAATTATAAGTACAAGTGTATAATTATGTTATAAACTCTCTACAAAATTAACTAAATATATAAAATACAGCACGAGAATCGAAGATGCAAAAGAGTTTATAGAATTGATGATGTAAAAAAGTTTTACCATCAAAAGTTTAAAATTTTTTTCCAAACAAGTTAATCTGCAGGTTATTTGTAAAATTTCTTCATTTTTTTTTTATTCTACAGCTATTTTCGATCGAAGTTAAGATTCAAAAAAAAACATTTTTAAAATCAGGCTTTTCTTTAGCGGTTGTACATACTAAGCCACAGGTGAGTAATGCAGTAACACAGATTTATCAATTAAAAAAACCTAAGAATTTTTAAATTATGATATGTGGCCATTTCGCATTCGCATTTCGGATATGTCTTAAAATATTTTTAAGATATATTCAAGTCGTTAATACGATTTTTTTTTTCTTTTTTTGATTAAATTTTTTAAATAATAATTAACTAAGATATACATATATCAGAAATAAAAAATATATATCCGTATAACAAAAAAGATTTGTGTTACAATGCGTTGGGTTACAACGCCGTTTTTGTTTACAAAACATAAAACATAATTTTATATTTTGTTATTAATTTTTATTGTACCGATTATGCAATATCAAAAATTTCATATAGTAAAGTAAAAACACCTTGATATAACATTTTATACTTTTAAAATATATATATACTTCAAAAATTTTCAAATTCTTAAAAGACCTACCAAAATGTTTAAATTTCACGCCAGTTTTAAACATTTACTTAGAAATGCTAAATGTTGCGTGACTGATAAAAATTTATCACTTATATAAGTCACGCATAATCGTCAACACTTATAAATAACTTATATTATCAACGTTTATAAACGCCACAAAGAGTATACTGCTAAAATATCGCTCGTTGAAAAAAATTGAATTCTATATCACGAGCAAATAATCGCGTATCAATGAAAACTTATGAACGTGCGGAGTGAAAAATGAAAAATGAAAAATAACATTGTGTTACTATCAAACTAACATCGTGTTACTAAATTGTATAAAAAAGTAAAAATTCATTTATATGTTAAAAAATGCTTTATCTATTTTATATATACTTATTAATATGTTATATATACTTATTAATATGTTATATATACTAATATATATATATATATATATATATATATATATATATATATATATATTTATATATATATATATATATATATATATATATATATATATATATATATATATATATATATATATATATATATATATATATATATATATATGTTTTTATATATATATATATATATATATATATATATATATATATATATATATATATATATATATATACAGGGCCGACGCGAGTAGGCGTTACGTGAAGGGGGGGTGCCATTACAACTTTTGCCGACTAAAAAAAAAAAACTCCTCATTTTCCACAATTTGCATTTGTTTTTAAAAGTTACGTTCTAAATGTGTTTTAAACGTCTTTTAAACGTCTTTTAAACATTAATGTTTAAAAGACGTTTAAAACGTCTTTTAAACGTCTTTTAAACATTAATGTTTAAAAGACGTTTAAAACGTCTTTTAAACGTCTTTTAAACATTAATGTTTAAAAGACGTTTAAAAGATATTTAAAATACATTTAGATCGTAACTTTTAAAAACAAATGCCCGTCGAGGACTAACTAAAAAAGGTCCAATTTGCCGATTAGGGGTCCAGTTTGCCGACTAAAAATAACACATCCCCACACACCCCTATCGCGACGGCCTTTGTTTTAAATATATATATATATATATATATATTTAAAACAAAGAAATCGTTTAAAGTTAGCAATATAATGTCGGCTATACTCTTACAACGTCACTTTAACATTATTTAGTATAAATTATTTGTTAATTTATTTTTAATAATTCTCAACGGAGATTCATCGAGTTAAATTTTGGTTAATAAGAATTGAACAAAAAATAAATTATAAGTTGAAGTTTCTAAGATTTAAGTTATTTTAATCTATTATAAGCAAAAGTTGAAATTTTGAAAATTTATTTTCAATATGGGTTAATTATGATTATTTTGCAGAATTGCATCTACTTTTTTTTTTTTCTATTTTTAAGAAAATGTTTGAAAACAGTAGATAATTCTGAAAATTTTTGTATTGAACGAGTCAAGGCAATTTACTTTATAAACTCAAAATACAAAATATGGCCTGTAAATAATAAAAAAGCAAAAAAAAAAAAATAACTTTATCTTGAATGTATTTATTCATAGCAAATCTTTAAAAAAATTCAATATTTAACTTTTTTTTTATTTTTAGTGAACTTCGTTGTAATAGTAAATCTCACATCACATATGTGAACATCACACACACACACACACACACACACACACACACACACACACACACACACACACACACACACACACACATATATACATATATATATATATATATATATATATATATATATATATATATATATATATATATATATATATATATATATATATATAGTAGAGACAATGACACTTTATTGTATGTTATAATTTGGGGATAAACTGTTCTATAAAAGTTGAAGTATTTAAAAATTTAAACGTTGGTATAGGGAATTAAATTTTAAAAAACATGCTATCGGTACAATTACAGAAACAAGATCCTAAATCGTACCATTATAATCCAATAGTGTACCTGTATCTTGATTTTACAAATACTATAATAATATACAGTACAGTTTAAATGATTTTTGTAAAGATTTTTTTCTGTGTCAGCAATGTAAAAAAGTTTTGAATTTAATAACTATGAAACTGTAAATCTTTCCTTGAATAGTCTAAAAACAGGTATCATCAATAAGGTATAACTTTTATACTGTGTAGCTTACTAATGCGATAGCTAAAAATTTAGTAGGAAAATGATAGATATTATGTATACAATATTATTAATACAAAACAGAAAAATCTTTATTCTTGACTAAAGTTACAAATATTCAAAATTGCAGTCTTGCTACAATTTAAGGACTTATGTGAGGTACAAATTACAAGACAAGACTCTCTTTGAGTTTATAACATAATTAGACAACAAATTCTACTATACCTTAATTTCTTGAAAGTTATTTTAAATTCACATAAATAGAGCTTTCACATAAATATGATAAAAAAGACACATATTTGACATATTTAGAGTAATAATTTAAACATTGAACCCCGATAATAAAAAAACTTTGGCATCATATCAACTCAAGGTAACTCTTGCCAGAATCTAGTTTCATCTCACAAAAAAACAATTGATTTATCAGTTCAACATGGTAAAAATAAAATTTAAGTCAAAAGATATTTTTTGGGTTGTAAAAACAACTAGATACAGCAAAAGTACAATTAATGCGCCGTTACAATATTGGTAACCTTACTATATACATAGAGGAAGTGGGGGCATAACCGCATATGGAGGCACAACCGTTTTTTGACATTTCTCTTCAAAAAATGTTTCTAATATGGAAAAAATCATACCACGCGTTAGTAAAGCATTTTCCTTTATTTTGCATATATCAAAAAGAGTGACTGTTAAGTTTCTGAGAAGTTGTGAATAATAATGTTCATTTTCATAAAAGTATTATATTTACATCATATTTTTCCTGACCTTTTTTTTGAGAATTAAGCAATATTTGATTTTAGTGTTAAAGATATATGTTATCAGCATTATTTCATGAAGTGAAAGCCATTTTTGATAATACCATAATCTAATAATTAAACTATGAAACTGAATTTTTTCAAAAAACTCTCTTTTGGGGCAGAACTCTCTTCTGGGGCAGAACTCAAAATGTAAATACAAAGAATGCCTGCACAGTATGCAAACATGTAACAAAATTATCAAATAACCTGAGCAGTGAAAATTGTAAAAAAAAATGTATCAAAAAAGGTGTAGCCCCATCGATTTTTGTGAGGGTGTGGTTGTGCCTCACAATGGGGGCAAAACCGTTTTTTTCACTAAGTGTAATTTTTGTGCAATAACATTTTCAAAACCCGTTCAATTTTTTTCTTAAATGCATCAATTTAAAGCTTAATGATGTGGTTATTGAAATAAACTGCTAAAAAAACACATTTC